TTTGGTGGGATCGACATATCAGCACTATGTCAGCCAACAGACACCAGCCGCTGTGTGTTTAGTCACTACTGTCATTACTGTGCTGCTCACTTTTCTCCTTGAGGCTGTGATATAAAAAAGAAAAATCATGCCTCCACCAAAATGGCCACCACCATATTGACACGTTGCAAAACAAGGCATGGTAAGTCAATAGTGGGGAAAGATCGGCTGCAGGGATCACAACCTACCACAGGCAATACTAGCGACTAGTCCCTTATCCTCTGCCTGCCTTTTTTTTGGACACAGCTTCCAAAGTTCAGTTCATCTTTACATCCAAATAAAGCAAGATTACATTCTCAAATGATCGGGTAGGGGGTAAAGTTGCTAAATACAAAGAAGCTCTTTCCTTCACATGTATAGAAAATATGGCTACTGTTTTATACATTCCATAGTCGTGGAATCCTAGCCTAACAGCTTCCAATAAATGGCAAGAGTTTATGGAATAGAGAACAGTAAATGCCACATGCTTCCATGTCCTTTTTTCTGGAGATGTATGCTCCCTTCATTAACAACTGTTGTAGCTCTGTTGACACAGGAAGTCATATACTATCTAGTTATACTGCTGCCTAAATGCTCTTTTATTGGCTTGCAAGGCAATGGCATTCCCAGAATTCATTTTGAAATGGATGTCTCAAGAAGCACATTTGGTTATTGTTGTATTGTGAGCTGATGGCTGTTTCACGAGTCAGATTGCCATGAAGCTGTAGAATTTTAAACTAAGCTGTCCACTACTGTCATGAGAGAAGAGGGCAAACTAGGTATAATTAGGATAGAGAAAAACAGAAGACCCAGATACACACTGCAGTTTGAGAAACAAATGTTACAGTTCCTCAGTTTTATGCTTCCCCAAATAGTGCACACCAAATACCAACGTAATTTGCAACAGTGAAAAGATGTCTCTGGGATGCTAAGCTTATAGGTAGAGAAATGCATATGTGAGACACAAAAGTGTTCCATGTCAGTGGCAGGCTAAAAAATAAAGCAAGAATCAGACAGCTGCAATGCCAGGTCCCTATTTTTTTCTTATTCTGACAGATTCCCTTTAAAGCCTAGCCATGGTATTAGCTTTCTGTTGTCTTGTCATTCTATACATTTTAGTCTTCTTTGCTAACAAAGCATTTACCCACATTTTAGATGGAAGTGAAAATGTGACGGGATTGGACCTTTCAGATTTCCCAGCATTAGCGGATAGAAATAGGAGGGAAGGAAGTGGCAACCCAACTCCTTTAATAAACCCTTTGGCTGGAAGGGCTCCCTATGGTAAGCCATTATTTGTCTCACTCTATGCCTTGTACTGCTGGTTGCATGCCTTTGGATTTAGTAAAGTCTGGAACTTAAAAAGGGCCTTGACCATGTCCTAGAGTAATGTCTTCTGGTTACAATCTCTTGCCAGTAGGACTCATGTACATGTTAATGGATGCAGAAGTGTATTTGGCACCTTTTTTGAGTTTTGGGCTTTTTTCTGCCTAGTTTTCCAGTTCTTTGCTGGTCGGACAACATTGCTTGGGAGAGCAATGATGGGCATGTCAGGTGCCATGCCCATTTTTACGTGCTGCAAAGCTATTCACCTAAGGGGTTTCTAAAAACTCTTCTCACCCAGTACTGTCGCTGTCGGCACCCTTTTGGCTGGCATCCCTTGATCAGCTGATCGAAGGAGCCAGCTGGAAAATCTTTGTAAGACAATAGCTGTCAGAATACAATGCCAACATGGGGATTCTTTGACACACATGTAGTGTTTATGGAGGTATATGCTCTATTTTATTCATTCGGGAAAAAAAACGAACAAAAAAAAAATAGAGCAGTGTATGGCCAGCCTTAGGCACATGTGTGAAGTGTCTATTTTTTCAATCTTGTGTGCTTGATGTCTTGTAATAGCTTGTTGTAGACATAAATAATATGCAGTAGCACTTAGCAACCAGTTGCCATATTAGTGGAGTTAGGTCAGTGTTAATAATTTTTTGCTATGTGGCAACGCATGTCTTTGCTGTTTCCACAATTATGTTAGTTCAAATCCTTAGGCTGGATTCACACCTGGGCATTCCCAATAGGCGCGTTGTATGCACGTTTTTGCCCTTGCGTTTGAAGCACGCTTTTCTGTCCAATGAAACGTGCGTTCCACGCTCGTTTTTTAACCTCCCTGGCGGTATGATTTATTTTTTTTTTTGTATTTCCTTTTTTTCTCTTTTTTGTTTTACTTTTAAACTTCCCGCCGGTTCCGCATACTTCTTCTATACCAGTGAACTGCACGCTCATTTTTAACTTTTAAAATCTGTCTTTATTCAGTTACATTAGTGTATTTTTCCCTGGTTTTTAAATAAGTAGAGAGTTTTAGAGATGCATTTACATGTTTACTGGTGCAGTTGAGTCAAAAGACTGAACTTATTTTAGAAATGAATATTGTAACTTTATATTTCTCTCATCTGTAGTTGGCATGGTAACAAAACCAGCAAATGAGCAGTCCCAGGACTTCTCAATACACAACGAGGATTTCCCTGCATTACCAGGCTCCAGCTATAAAGATCCTACATCGAGCAATGATGAGAAATCTGTGAGTACTTTGATATTAACTGACAAAAACTTTTTGTGTACACGTTTTATACAGTGACACTAAATTCAGAAGTTAAATCTTAATAATGCATTCAAGTACCTTAACTATTAACAAAAATGTATCTTACTTGTGCATCACTCAGCTGTAGATCTTCAAATCATCCCTGAATTGGTGCTGACACTGTCCTTCCTTCTGGAGGGTGGCTACTTTTGTTCCCCATGTGTTGCAAAGTAGTCACGGCTCCAAGCTCACTCCCGTGATAGACTATAACTTCAATTAAAAAAAGTAAAGGTTTTAAACCGTACATTACAACACACACAGGAACCATGGGGAACAAAGGTAGCCACCCTGCAGAAGAAAGGAGAGTGTCCGTACCAATTCAGAGAATATTTTGAGTATCTACAGCCTAGTGATACACAAATAAGATATATTTATCTTTATAGTTTATTTATTGCAGATATATAATATATATTCGTGCAGACAATTTATCTAGTTAGGGTACTTGAATGCATTTTTAAGATTTAACTCCCGAGTTTAGTGTCACTTTATTACACTTTATTTGTTAAAATAGTTTCCTGTTTCTGTAGTATGTTTTAAAAGCGTTTTCCAACTTAACAAGTATATTACACAGGTAATGATTTAGGGCCCATTCAGACCTATGATTTACCATAACACACGTACCGTGGTGCAGTGATCAATTTTGAATGGCATTCCCAAAACATTACCTGTGATGTAATGCACGGTTCAGTTGCCTTGATTTATTTTTTACAGGTATACTGTGACCTGCATGAATGACAACCTTCGCAGACACCCCTTGTGTCCATTCAGAGACCAGCTCGTAATCATTCATAAAAATACTTGGCATTCGCTGAATGGCTGCTGTGCCAAGAAAGCAACCCACTGTGTTTTAACAGCAGAGGAGAAGTTGCTCAACACAGTGGCTGCACATACCCTGAAAGATCTCTGTAAAGCACTGTAGTAGCTTTTTCTCTCCCGTTCATTGAAGGACACAGGGAACAGATCGGAGATCATGTACTGTAGGATAATATCGCCACCTGCAGGAGAAGGATGCTAGGCACAAAACTAAAGACCAATTACAGCCTGGGACGGCCCCTGCCGGTGGCCAAACCCCCCACCTGCAGACAAGTCTCCAGTTTTTTGCCTAGCGTCAGGAGTAAGGAGCTAAGAATTTTTGCTTGGGTATTCTTACCTGCTTCGTCCTGATCTTTTCAGAGGAATCTTCTAGCAAGTGTTGTCCGGGTGACAGGCTAGATGTCTCGGATCCTTGGAGTCTCACCTGGACGACCATCGGATGCATGCGGACCCGCTACGGTGGGGTGGCCTGTGGGTTCGTCCCAGGGGGGTGCATATGACTGGGGGTCTCGGCCGGCCAGTCACAGCACTCCCCACAGGCTGCTGGCGCCGCGACTGCGGTCGGGGGCGCCAGGTTTCCGCAAGCGCCTGTGCACCTGGACTTCGGTGTTCCCTGCGCAGCATGGATGGAGGTGTCTGGTCTGCGGATGGCCCGCGTTTTCCTGCGGTATGTATGGCGCTGCGTGTGGTGGTGGGGGTCTGTGGGGACCAGGATCTGCCTGGTCTCCCTTTGGGGCTGCCTGCCCTCCTCCCCGCATCCCCTCATCCCCCTCAGTCAGCCTCTGGGGTCGCGTTGGGGTGTTGTGGCCCTGTGGGGACTTGCCTGGTTCCTGGCCGGCCTGCGGAAGCAGCTGTGGCTTCCTGGGGATGTTTTTAGCGGCGATCGTGGTCGGGCTGCCCCGCGAGGGCTTGTGCCCCTTTGTGTCTGCTGGCCGCTCTGTTCCGCCCGCGTGTGTGCGCCGGGGCCGCTAATCGAGCCCCCGGCTTCGTTTGCGGCCTGCTCCGGAAGCCGCGGCGTCACTTCCGGTGCGCCACTTCCCGGTCCCTGTAATAGCTCGTCACGCGGCCGGATCGGTCTTTCTTGCCGGGACGCGGTCGGGTGAGGACGCACTGGGACGCTGGGAGTCAGGTGCTGTAGGAGGGTCGTCTGGTGCGGGTGGCGCCTGCTGGGGACTCCCTCGTTACCTGTGGCTCTGTATTGCAGGGGCATGGACAGCGGGGACGGACTGGCCGCAGTGCTCTGTGAGGGCTACGGCCTCTCTTCAGGGACCTCTCCCACGTCGCCTCTTTGCGCAGCCTGTGCTACTGCGCCCCTTTCCCAGTCTCCCTTGATGCCTGCGGGTTCTTTGGGTGGGGGTCCGCTGGCGCAGGGTTGTCATTGGAGGTTTTTTCCTCCCACTATGGACAGTTTTGTGTCCCGTATTGAGCGCGCGCTGACGCAGCGCCCTCCAATGAAGCGCGCCTTGCCGGCTCCCTCCTCAGGCCTTTCTGGGGATTCAGAGGAAGAGGGGGAAACTTCTGCGGCCGCGCATCCCGACCAGGGGGACTCCTCCCAGGCGGAATCTGGTAGTGACGACGAGTCGTGGGCCTCCCTTATGGCCCAGGAGCGCGGCCCTGGTTCGCGCTGTGCAGGAAACGCTTAAGATTTTTCCTTATGTTCCTTTTTTTTATGACTTTGTCTACAAGGAGTGGAAGCGCCCGAGCAAGTCGTTTTCCGTTCCCAAGCGTTTCTCGGTTCGTTATCCTTTTGAGGAGTCCTTCCTGTCTAAGTGGTCCACCCCTCCCGCGGTGGATCCGCCGGTTTCCCACCTGAACAAGGCTACAGTTATCCCGGTGGAGGATTCGCCTTCCTTTCGGGATCCCACGGATAGGAAGGCGGAGGCTGTGGCGCGTACGATGTACTCGGTTTCCGGGGCTCTGTTGCGCCCTGTGTTGGCTTCAGCCCTGGTCTCCCAGACTTTGACCGAGTGGGCGAAGATGCTGCGCCAGGGTCTTGCGGAAGAAATGGTGTCTCCTGCATATGTCGACCTGGCGGAGCAGTTGGTGCAGGGTCTGCAATACCTGTGTAATTCGGCCTTGGATGCGGCACCTTTGGTTTCCAAGCTGTCTGTGTCGGCGGTTACTCTTCGACTCCTCTGGCTTAAATGCTGGTCGGCCGACCAGGCTTCCAAGAAGGCCCTGACGGAGCTCCCCTTTACGGGGGATCGTCTGTTCGGTACTACCTTGAATGAGATCATTAAGGATCTGACTGGCGGTAAGAGTAACTTCCTGCCTCAGTCGAAAAAGCCTAGGGACCAGCGGCGGAGGCCTGGTCCTTCCTTTTCTGCTCACAAGCGGCTTTTTCGTCCACCTCCGCCCTCTGAGAAGGGCGTGTAAGCCCCCCTCGGCATGAAGACCTGCCCCCATCCCGGGATTCCAGGGTGGGGGGACGTCTTCGGCTCTTTGCGGGCCGCTGGCTGTCCCGCGTCTCCGACACCTGGGTGCGGGAATTGGTGTCTTCGGGCTACAAAATCGAGTTTCTGTCGCGCCCCGAGGACAGGTTCTTTCCTTCCAACCTCCGTCTCCCTCCGCAGCGCCTGGCAGGCCTTCATGGCGCGGTGGCGGGTCTTTTGTCCCAAGGGGTGGTGGTTCCGGTACCCTCCTCGGAGAGGTTCAGAGGGTTTTATTCAAACCTGTTTACGGTACCAAAGAAGGATGGGGTTCGTCCCATCCTGGACCTCAAGCGGTTGAACGTCTTTGTGCGCGTTCGCAGGTTGCGGATGGAATCGATCCGCTCTGTGGTGGCGTGTCTTCATCAGGGGGACTTCATGGCCTCACTCGACATCAAGGATGCCTACCTTCACGTTCCTATCTGTACCTCCCACCAACGCTACCTTCGCTTTGCGGTGGGGGACGACCATTACCAGTTTGTCGCTCTGCCCTTCGGTCTGGCATCTGCGTCTCGGGTGTTCACCACGGTGCTGGCCCCGATTCTGGCCCTGTTGCGATGTCGGGGGATCTCAGTGGTGGAGTACCTGGACGACGACCTGCTGAAGGCGGAGTCCCATTCCTCTCTGGTGGCGGATCTGGCGATCACCGTTCGGTCGTTGGAGGAGTTCGGCTGGCTCCTGAACTTCCAGAAGTCTTGCCTGGTGCCGGCCACTCGTTTGGAGTATCTGGGGTTGATTCTGTACTCCGCCTCGGCGTGGGTTTTCCTGCCCCCTGAGAAGCTTCTGAAGCTTCGCTCGCATGTGGCGCTGTTACAGGCGCGTCGGTGGTCAACGATCCGCTTTTGCATGAAGGTCCTGGGCCTCATGGTGGCTTCCTTCGAAGCAGTGCCTTACGCTCAGCATCACACGCGGGTTCTGCAGAGGACCATCTTATCGCTATGGGACAAGTCCCCTTCGTCGCTGGACCAGGCGGTTCGGGAGGCGAGGTCCTCCCTGGTCTGGTGGCTTCAGTCCCCGTCTCTGGTGTTGGGCAAGTCCTTCCTTCCCATTCACTGGACGGTGGTCACCACGGATGCCAGCCTGTTGGGCTGGGGGGGGCGTCCTGGACATTTGGACGACTCAGGGCCGTTGGTCGTTGGAGTCTCGACTCTCGATCAACGTGCTGGAACTTCGGGCGATTCGCCTCTCCCTTCTTCATTGGACAGGCCGTCTTCCCGGGTGGCCGGTCCGGGTTCAGTCGGACAACGCCACGGCCATGGCTTACGTCAACCATCAGGGCGCACAAGAAGTGTGGCCGCGGCTCGGGAAGTGGAAAGAATTCTATCTTGGGCGGAGGAGCATGTTCCGGCTCACTCCGCCGTGTACATCCCGGGCGTGGAAAATTGGCAGGCCGACTATCTCAGTCGCCAGTCGGTGGGTCCGGGGGAATGGATGCTACATCCGGAGGGGTTTCATCAGCTTTGCCTTCGCTGGGGGTTCACGGACGTGGATCTCCTGGCGTCTCGCCTCAATCGGCGGGTCGATCGGTTCGTGGCCAGGGCCCAGGATCCTTGGGCGGATGCGGTGGACGCCCTGGTGGCGCCGTGGGATTGCTACGGTCTGATTTACGCGTTCCCTCCACTGTATCTGTTACCGCGTCTCCTTCGCAGGATAGCGGTAGAAGGCGTCCCGGTCATCCTCGAGGCTCCGGATTGGCCGAGGAGGGCGTGGTACGCAGATGTGGTTTGGTTAGTGGCGGACATCCCCTGGCGCCTGAAGCTTCGTCCGGATCTTCTATCTCAGGGTCCGGTGTTCCATCCGTCTTTACAGTCGTTGGCTTTGACGGCGTGGCTGTTGAGAGCCAGGTGTTGAGGGATCGTGGTCTCTCGGATGCGGTTATGTCTACGATGTTGCGGGCTCGCAAGCCTGTGTCCCGAAGGATTTACCATCGAACATGGAAGGCTTATTTTGCCTGGTGTGAGTTGGTTGGATTTCCGCCTCGTTTGTTTTCCGTTTCCAGGATCCTCGCTTTTTTGCAGCGTGGTGTGGATCAAGGTTTGGCCTTGAGTACGATCAAGGGCCAGGTTTCGGCTTTGACTGTCCTTTTTCAGCGTCCGATAGCCTCCAACGCTTTCGTTCGCACTTTTGTGCAGGGGGTTACAGGTATCGTTCCTCCTGTTCGCTCCCCATTGCAGCCATGGGATTTGAATTTGGTGCTCTCAGTGTTGCAGGAATCTCCCTTTTGAGCCCCTGCGTGAAATTTCAATTCTGACTCTGTCTCAAAAGGTGGCCTTTTTGGTGGTGGTCACCTCGGTCCACAGGGTTTTTGGAATTGGCGGCCCTCGCTTGCTCATCCCCGTTGCTAGTCCTGCATCGGGACAAGGTGGTTCTGCGGCCTCGGCCGTCTTTTTTTTTGCCAAAGGTGGTTTCGGCTTTCCATCTCAATGAGGACAATGTCCTGCCTTCCTTGTGTCCGCAGCCTGTCCACAGGAAGGAGAAGGCGCTGCACTGTCTGGATGTGGTCCGCGCCATCCGTGTTTAACTGAGTGCTATGGCTTCGTTTCGGGAATCGGATTCCGTTTGTCGTTGCAGATGGCCCTCGGAAGGGCCGGGCTGCCTCGTCGGCCACCATCTCTCGATGCATTCGCAACACGGTCTCTCAAGCGTATGCTATTAAGGGGCGTGAGCCTCCTTTTTCTTTTACGGCCCATTCTACTAGGGCTGTTGGGGCATCTTGGGCTTTTCGTCATGGTGCCTCCGTTTCTCAGGTCTGTAAGGCCGCGACTTGGTCTTCTGTTCACACCTTTGCCAAGTTCTATAAGGTGGATGTTTTGACATCTGCGGATGCTGGTTTGAGGCGCAAAGTGTTGCAGGCGGCCGTTTGAGGGGATTTTTTTGTTCAGTTGGGGTTGTTGTTTCTGTTGTCCCACCCCTCTTTTTTGGTACTGCTCTGTGACGTCCCTACAGTACATGATCTCCGATCTGTTCCCTGTGTCCTTCAATGAACGGGAGAGAAAATAGGATTTTGGTACTCACCGTAAAATCCTTTTCTCTCCGTTCATTGAAGGGCACGGGGCCCGCCCCTCTGTGTGGGTGTGTACTCCTTTTACTGCTTGTTACTAACTGGAGACTTGTCAGCAGGTGGGGGGTTTGGCCACTGTCAGGGGCCGCCCCAGGGTGTAATTGGTCTTTAGTTTTGTGCCTAGCGTCCTTTTCCTGCAGGAGGCGATATTACCCTACAGTACATGATCTCCGATCTGTTCCCTGTGTCCTTCAATAAACCGAGAGAAAAGGATTTTACGGTGAGTACCAAAATCCAATTTTTTTACAGGCTCACCATGACCCTGCCAGCGTAATCATCTGGTGTCAGATTGTCACTTTGATGAAGGGACCCTGTGCGGCCCCGAAACGTTGGTTTTGTTTGTGACGACTGGTCCGATTAAATGGACATCAACGATATTTGAGTGCTGGTGATTTCTACTTTCCAGATTTGGATATGGGTCATTTAGGTGGCTCTTGGACTTATGTAGATCCCAGTTGTTTTGTTGGGTTTGTTAGAACTTGTTGCTCTTTGCCCACCCGTCTGTTGGACTGCTTTTTGAAGTCTCAGATGTTCAAAAAGCAGTCCAACTTGAGGGATGGACATAGGAGCAACACGTTTCAACAAGCCCAACAAAACAGAACTTTCTTGTCTCATTGGACGAGAAAGAAAATAAGGTGTTCTTACTGTAAAAGCCATTTCTTGGAGTCCATTTAAGGAAACGGGTACCTCTCCTCCTGATTGGCCTCTTGCTGGGTTAACTGGGCAAAGAAAGGGTTGTCCTGGGCTGTCCAACATATTTTTTGTTTTGCGAATGTCCAAATCCTAGAGTAGGCAGCAGTAAAACGTGACAGTATATGAATTCCTGTGTCCCTAAATTGACTTCAAGATGAGGATTTTACATTACATGCAAAAATTCTATTATTCAGTCTTAAACTCTGGCAGTGTGCCGAGTTGTCACATTTCAGGGGGCCTGTTACCTTTGACTATTCTCTGTATAGTCATCCTCGAATTCAATAAAGCTAAAAAAGGGGCTAAATATAAATATTTAATATATAATGTTAGAGTGTACAATCCTAAGGATGCGAGGCTAAATGTTTATATTTTTAAACTTGTTGCAGCTAATTCTCTCGTTGATATAACCTCAGCTATATGTTAAGCTCACTGGCAGGAAGGGTTTAATACAACTGTTTAGTCAGATGTTGAGTTTCAGTGGTCAGAGGTAACTAAGCAGGGGCTCCATAAACCTCAACGTTTTTTGATGTGTATTATAGATACCACAATGTTTTTATACAGTACATTATTTTGTAAAACTGTGAAGGTCAAATATCTCATATATTAAAATGGAAACTTTTACGTGGCGATCAACATTTTTAAAGACTTCCAAACTTTTTTTCTTAGCAAATCTTAAAGTAACATATCTCTTTGTATGCAGAATTTAAATACGCCAGGAAAAACTGCCTCAAGTACAGATGGACCCAAATTTCCAGGAGATAAAAGCTCCACGACGCAAAATAATAACCAGCAGAAAAAAGGGATTCAGGTTTTACCTGATGGTAATACATTTTAAATCATGGCTTCTTTTCTGTAATTGTGTGCATGATAGTAGTACATATTGATTGATTTTTTTGTGCCCAGTTAGAACTTTGTTCAGTGAAAACCTGTAATATCTTCTTGTCAACAAAGTAACACTGATCGTATGTAACAATGTGCTGCATCCTGCTCCATAACTTCGCCCAACGCTATGTGCTGCCGGAGCCCCCTGAAAAATCTTAGTTTGTGGTGCACAGGTGTACTGCCCCTGCATTCCACAAAGCATTGCTTGCTTAAGCCACCTATCTCTAGACACAAGTACTGTAGTGCGGGGACACTAAGTTTGCCGAATCTCCAAATATTGTACTGCGGGAGGATATATGCCCAGGGTATGCCGTGTCAGTGCTGCGTTTTGTTATGTGAAAATATTACAGATTTACTTTTAACAGGGGCACAGCAAACAATTGGAGATTTTTTTTTTGTTTCTATTGCTTTTCCTTTATAAACTGTACCCAGAATTATTGGGTCATTTTATCCAGTGTGTTCATACTCGGCTTTCACAGTGAATCCTTGGTAACATATGGCCAAAAACCTTGCTGGTTTGCTGCCAGAAATGGGGAACAAACTAAAACGCAGTGCATAGCCTTTACCCTTGGTTAGCTGTGTCACAAGTGTCAATAAACGGATGAAATGGATAATTAAGTCCCTTTTCTATAAAATGGTGGGCTCACAGCAGCCACATGTGTGTTGGAACTGTTAAGGAGAGCTAATACTTTTTGTAGGGAAAGATAATTGGGGCTTTTGTTTGGATTTTTGGAATTTGGTACATGTCTCTCATGGCAGTGCCCAGCTTCCCATACCTTTTTTGTTTGACAATAGCTTGCTTATTAGCCGTCGAAATGGGAAGAATTGAATAACAAGTTTTGTCATTTTTAAAATGTATAACTGTGTCAAGACCTTGTTTAGATGGGCAGCAGGCTCTACTGCCCTCTGAAAAATGATCCACGGTGGACTTGGGCTATAGCGCAGTGGCTGCCCCTGGCATTCAGGAGGAGATGGGGGGATTTTTTTTTTTATTGAACTACCACTACTTAACCATGTTGGTGATCAAGCCTTTGACACATGGTTGCCGTGTGGTCCTATTCACCTCTATGACCTTGTTTGCCAGGGGGCACCACCTGCCACACAGACTTGCTGTACAATTTTTGCCACGAAGCAAAGCATTGTGGCTGCGGAAATGTATACAGCATTGTCTAACCACAAAAAATTGCAGTGAGGGGTGAAGAGCAGTAAAATGTGGATCAACCGCCTGATTTCACCTCCCTTTAGCTGCCCCATCTAAACAAGGCCTAACAAAGACTCTAAAGGGCTAGATTATGTGACACTATTAAGCACTGCCAAAAGCTGGGAGAAAGTGTGCAAGATCAAATGACATGTTAATTCCCAAGGTAGAGTCAAAGTAGGTAAAACTAATAAGGTGGAAAATATAAATATTTCATTAGTATGCCTACACAGATATTATAATTTTAGGACTGAATATTTATAATCGTGCAGGAACCAAGCAGTGACTGGTTCTCTTTAAGTGCCAGAAAGCGGAGACCACCCTGGACATAGTATAAAAGACCCTTACAGCGCATGTTCGTACCAACTTGTACATTGAGGCTATGCTTTCTCACTTTGTTTTGTTACTTTTTGTTAATCTTTACACATTACTGACTCGGTGTCCTGTCATTTTAATTGTTTCTTATCATTAATGTTGGTATGTCTTATCCAGGCCGAGTTACCAACATTCCTCAAGGTATGGTGACAGATCAGTTTGGCATGATTGGCTTGTTAACGTTCATCAGGGCAGCTGAAACAGACCCAGGGATGGTACATCTTGCATTAGGAAGTGACTTGACAACACTAGGCCTCAATCTCAACTCTCCAGAGTAAGTCTGCTTGTTTTATTTGTTGTTTTTTTTTCACTTTGCTTTTTGCTAATAATGTTTGTTTCTGTATTTGTATTTTTTTTATGCAAACCAAGAGAAATGTTTTTCAGTCTCTACTAAGTCAGGCAAATAAGGTTCTCATTAAGCAGTTAGAATGCAAGTTGAATTGGGAGTTTCGGTATTTTTTTTTTTTGCATTGCTTAGCACCTGAGCGGCCAGTCATCAGGCCTGTGTACTGTCACTTGGGGGCTGGGGAAGGTCCCTGGTTTTGTTTTAAGCTCCACTACTGAGTTTACATTGGGCATTTTTGCTCGGAGCACTGGCAGGTTAACAGAACAGGAGGGGATTGCGGGTGAGGCAAATATCAGTTGAAAAAGAGAGAGCCCTTAAAATTAAAACTGAAACCTTGCCCTGAATGGGTTGCACTTAAGTTGTGCCTGACTTTGCAATGTATATAAGTCGAAAACTTTTTTATTAATGCCAAGTTTACCTGTCATTGCTGAACTCCAGTTACTTCTACAGGCAGGGAAGCAGCGGCAGCTTTTATATTCATATTCAAGACATATAAGATCTATCAAGACAGGTATTCTATAAGTACTAGAATGGCTACTTGCAGTTATAAGGAGCTTAACAGTAAAGTTTTCAGTTTCTTTAAAATTGCAGCTTTTTTTTTTTTTTATAGCTATGGTGTCGTGCCAGTCTTTGTTGCATGGCTTTGTATAATGAGATGACCTTTGTTTTATTCAAATTCTTTGAACTTGATTGTTGGCTTTTAATGGCACAGTGGCAGCATATTTTTATTTTTTTTACCTGCACCACTACATTGTCAGTGAAAAGTTCTTCACATCAGTAGCATAAAAAGTGATTAGATGTTGTTCAGTTTTCACATTTATACAAAAGCGTTATAATAGTTTCTAATAGCAGAAAAATGATGGGAAACATTTTTGAGTGTATTTTAGGAGTTTTCACAAACCTAGTGATAAAATCTGCTGACAGCTTTTCAGTAAGGAGTAGATGTCAGTGAAAAGGAATACCTTGTCCCCCTCTTTGCAGATAGAAATGCTCTTATGCTTTTTATTTTTAAGCAGCATCAGAAAATTTGTACTTACAGGGGTGTGGAATTCCTATCGCCCGACGCCCTGGGCAGGCAGTTTCGGGCGCCGGGCGAGTCGTTTTTTAATACATTTAGCCCTGCTCTGGACAAGCAGAGCTAAATATATATTGTGGAGCCGCCGCTCGTTTTCATGGTGGACCCGTCACCACGGCACGGGAGCTCACCATAGAGCCGGCAGAGCAGACGAAGAACTTCTGTTCTTCGTCTGCTTTGTGCTATCACTGAGACTGTGACACTGTAATCACAGTGCCACCTGTCTCAGCTGTCAGGAACTACACAGAACATCTGTTGGAGTGCAGGTTCCATAAAGAGAACCTGTCACCTCCAAACTATCAAATAGAGGATTTTAACACCCTATGTGATAGGAATAAAATTAAGTGGGAGGAGGAGTAAAAAACAAAAATGAAAATATTTTTTTGAAAGGTATAAAAAAAAGTCAAAAATAATACAATATATAAAAATTTAAAAAAAATAAAAGTGTAAAAATAAAAAAATAACTAAAACCAACTCCTCTGCCCCTGCCATCTGCATACAAATAAACACACGCATAGGAAATTGTGTGTGTGTGTGTGTGTTGAGTCCTGCCGCCATTTCACTGTCTGCCATATTGTGGTAGCCATGCAGCAGAACTCTCTCACACGCACAATGTGCATTAAAGGAGAACTATGAGGTCAGGGCTTTTCCCCATAGTTCTCCTAAAGGGTTGCAGGAGAACGCAAGCTAGCGTGATCCCGTGACCCAAAGCTCTGTATACTGCGAGCTACAGCACGCGGTATACAGAGACTTCGCAGCCGAAATGGATCCCGACAATTATGTCTGGATCCACCCAGCTGCGTGAGTGACAGCTGGCTCTGCCTATCTAGAGACTGAGCCAGCTATACCCGCCCCCTCCCCCGTCCGTTCCGCCAGTCAGCGCTGGAGGATCGGACGGGGGAATCCACTCCCTCCCCTGTCACGGCAGAGAGCCGTGACGGGATCGAGAAGTGAGTAAGCGCCGGTATGTGTTCACTCACTCCCCGATCTATTGAGCCGACCTGTAACAGTTTCACTGTCACAGGTCGGCTAGAACTATGAGGATGAGTGAAAATCACTCACCTCATAGTTCTCCTTTTTAAAGGGTAAGTTCACTTTCCCAGGTGACCACGCTGACCAATGAGAAGCGCTATTTAGCACAGTCAAATACAGTTCTGATTAGGGATGATTTCCTCTGACCGGCAGTGCCGTAGGGGAACATGGAGCCAGTTTCCCGTGCAATCAGGAAGGCAGTGTCTAATGACCCGCCTTCCCGTTTCCTGATTGGCCGGGAAGCCAGCTCCTTGCTGTTTGGCTGACAATCAGCATCGAGCCGTCTTCCCGGCCAATCAGGTCATTACTCTCCGCCAGGTTTCCTGATTGGCTAGCAAGCTGGCTCGATGGTGATTGGCCGGGAAACAGGCTTCCCAGCCATTCACAATCAAGCCGGCCAAACAACATGGAGTCGGCTTCCCTGGCAGTCAGGAAGCCGGGTAGCATCTCATTACCGGCTGCCCTGCTTCCTGATTGCCCGGGAAGCACCGATACTCAGTGAGTACTGAAAGCAAAATATCGGTACTCGTACTCGATACCCAAAAACTGGTATTGGTGCATCCCTAGTTTTAAACTTTTAAAACTATATTTTTTTTGTATTGGGACAAGTAGATTTGACTCCCGCTTTAGCCCTTGGACAAGTAGTTTTTTCAAAAATGTCCACACCCCTGAGACTACAAGGTTAACTTTTCTGACAGCCCCTATCCCCCCCCAAATACAAATGGCTAAAAAAAACATTGAAAGAACTCCCCAGCTTCCAACACTTCCAGGAGGTGCGGGTAATGTCCCGCCAACCTCATCATTGCTGGGAAAGCTGGGTGTTTGAAATCCGGCAAGCATGCACTACAACAATATGCGCCTCTGCAAGTGTCAGAAGCCAGAACCAAGGTAAGTTGTTTTTTTTTTCTCTTTTTTTTGTTTGTTTGATACTCATTTTTTTTAATAGATTTTAATAACATTAAATTGTTTGGAAATCTGGGCCATTCTTTTAACTTGCAATATCCTTATGACCATAAAATGAAAGGCCCAGTATTCGATGTATTTTCAGGGATGCAGTCAATGCAATGTCTGTCACAGAAATTCCAAGTAAGCTGTAGCTCCCCCCCACCCCCTAAAAATGACTTTGCGTCATTTGTAGGTGGCTATGGAATTGCCAGCTCTCCCACCTTTTCATGTTATCAAATGCCGCTGATAATTGAGGCACACCAGTTTTTTTTGCAGCTGCCTAGAGCCGCATTGTAGTTACAGTAGTATCTGGCAAGCTACAAATAACCAAAGAAAAGAAGCAATGAGATTTGTAGCAACTACAGATCTCTGCTACAGAGTCGCTACCCTAATGATAAACTAGTTCATGTCAAGTTAACATTTATTGATATGAATTTTCTTTTTTTTTTTTTAAGGTTATGTGATTTGTTAATTTGACCTTTCATTTTTTTTGTGCCTTTTTGAAGTCTGTAATTAACAATATTCTACCCCAATATAGTGTCTCTCTTTCGGTTCTATGTTTAAATTGCTATGATCGATTCCTATCCCTTCTAAGCCTGCCAGAACAAGAGTGTTGTGGATTGTCAGAATTAGGGATGCACCGATACGAGTATCAGTGCCGATATCAAATATTTGCTCCCGATGCTTATCCCAATATTGGAACTTCCAGTATCAGGAAGCCGGCTCCATGCTCCCTCGTCGCCAGGCAGCATGGAACTGGCTTCCTGGCCAATCAGGAAGCTGGGCGGTGTGTAATGACTCTCCGTCCAACTTCCTGATTGTTTGGAGAGCTGGCAAGTCATTACCCACCCCCCGGCTTCATGATTGGTCAGAAAGCCGGTTCCATGCTTCCTAGTCACCTGGTCTAATGACTCGCCGCCCGGACTTCCAGCATCGGTATCAGCGTGTACCAAAAAAAAAAAATATCGGTATTTGTACCCGATACCGAAAAACCGGTATCGGTGCATCCCTAGTTATAACCAAATTGCCTTTGCAAAGCTGATGTATTTAACAAAAGTTTTATTTTAAAGGGAACCTGTACTGTAATAACCTGACTTTTTCTCGTCTTTTGAAGGGCACAGGATTAACTTATGGGTCTTATTGCCACCGGCAGGAGGCTCAGACATGGGCAAACCAAAAAACAAACAAACTATAGACGAGCCCAGAAAAAAAACCTTCCCACTACCAGCATGCCTCAGTTGTTGCATGTCTCATGGAAGAATGTCTCTTCAGCTCTGCTGTGAAATAGACTAATCATTTTTGCACCTTTTTTTTTCTTTAATATTTATTTTCTACATCTCTGTAACTGGTGCCCCCAGCTCACTCTACTAATTGCTCCACAGCTGCTTGCATAATGCTTGAAATCATTTTGCCCCCTACTCCTAGAGTCTATTCTGTCATCTGAGTCCTCTTTTAATCCAAATGATGTGGCCATTTTCTACTGAGGTTTTTTTTTTTTTCTACATTAGCTGTGGTCTGCACTGGCATTGGACAGTGCATGTCACAAAAAGGTTTATTTTAAATAAAAAAATTGGAAACTCCTTAGGCCTTTTACCGAATACCTTGGATTGTCTGTTTTCCAAAAAGGTAATTTTGGGGTGTGTTTTTTGCCCTGTGATTTTTGTTAGAAATATCTTGGCTCTGAAAAATGGCCTGGAAAGCAAGGGGGTTTAACATGCTGTTCATAAAGAGGTTAAGGACCCAGCTGATAAGCAATTGGAAGCACCTTTCTAGAACTCTGTTCTCCCTGGTGGTCCCTGCTCTTCACCCCATCCTGGCTGTTACTTTGCCAAAACATGGCTGACTGGTCAAAAACCCTTTAAAAGAGATCTCACAACTGCTGCAGTTGATCACTTATTTAAAGAACACATTGTACAGATGGCGCTGGCTTTATATTTCAGTTGTGATGGTCTGCTGGAAACCCCTCTGTTTTTTTATGATCATGCTCTCGGTACTGCTTTGCTACAAAACTTGTGGTATTGGGAGGCGTTAATCCTGAGCTGGCCTACAATTTTGTTTTTGTTTGCTAGTGTCCAATCCTTCTGTAGGTGGAAGTATAACCCAAAGTTAAAAACTGTGTCCATCAATAGATTCCAAGAAAAGTATTTACAGTGTGTCCAACATTCCGATTTTTCCTTTTTTTTTTTTCTGTCACACTAAATACATAGATTAATAGACCTAGATATACTTACCTATTTCAGTAAAATAATTTTTGCTCTCGCTGCAAGCTTGGAACCTGCTTTCTTTGCAGTATGTTTGTTTCAGCACAGAGGACATAACATGCCACTTTTAGTTTTTGGCCAGATCTTTTGATGCTATTACAAGTGTGAAAAAAGTCTCCTCACATTCCCTTTAATTTAAGCCTTAAGCTGCCCATCTTTTGATTTTTCCTTTACCAAAACCCTACTATAAATTATCATCTTGCAAATACCTAACACTTTATTCTAACCCTTAGAGCATATGTCAGAGCAAACAAACATGCAGTACATCTTTGAAATACACACATATATACTTCCTGATGTTTTTTCCCACAGCATTTTTGTGGACTACGTTTTTAGCTCTGCCCAGTTTGCTTTTCTAAAACTACTCCGACCCACCTATTCTTCCACCTCCACAACATAAAAGCTAATTATTCTGTAGTTCCAAGATCAGAACTGGGAGGGTAGTTTACTCTTCTTGAGACAACACAGGAATTGTGCACAATTCATAGGACAGTTTGGAATTTCTGACAGTGTATGTAAACCCTAACACTTCACATGAAACCTAAAACACAACCTAACACTTTTTTCCACAAAATACTAACCCCTGAAACTAAAGGAAACCTGTCATGAGAGAAATATATAGGCTGCTATTGCTGACCTCTCCTGTTCACTGTTGTATGAAATACTTTGGCTTGGCCCAGCCCCAGGTCACTCGCACCAGCCCAAGTATAGTGAGAAGTTCTCTGACTTTTTCATTTGCTGCAAGCTTGTTGTGGGTCAGTTCCTATCAGATCTGTATTTGCATTGTATATACCAAAAACATTGAGATGGCCTTACATATAGGTCAGCACCGAAAACTCCTGGTCCTTGTGGCAAATTCTGCCTTCTCCCAGAGTAGTTAGCATGCCTTTTCTTTTATTGATGCAGGCCTGTTTTGTGCTTAAATTGTTTGTTTTCCTTTTTAACATAGGAATCTTTATCCGAAGTTTGCATCGCCGTGGGCATCCTCGCCTTGTCGACCACAAGATATCGGTATGACTTTCTTGCTTCTTTTGTGTGATGTTCTGATGAAAGAACATGTTGTGTGTCTAGCCTGAAATAGCCACATCATTTTATCTAAAGCTAAATTGTTGAGTTTTCATTCTCTTTTCATTTTTCCCCTAGATTTCCATGTCCCGTCAGAGTACTTAACGAACATTCACATTAGGGATAAGGTGAGTGTTTCTTTAAAGTGTGGGCTTTAATAAGAAGCTGAAAATCAGTAATTCTGTGCAAGCTGTGAGCAGTCATTTGGGAAAATGCAAGAAGTTGGCACACTGCGATTTCCCTTTTTGTTAAGCTTGGCATACGCTGTTTGCATTTCGGCTGATTCCTGATAAGGCAGCTGAAATTCAAGCCATGGATGGCTCTGCCAGTCACACCCAGCTGGACAAAAGTTGATTTAAAAATTTGCAGTTGGGTGGAAAAGTTATCAGCCAAACATCAACTGCATCCTGTCAAATGGGACTCACAGCTGTCTGAATACAATAGCCAGCAGATGGAGATTCTTCTATCCATGCTGTTTAGAGTAGACGGGGGGATCGATTGTTTTTCACTTGTCCAGCTCGCAGGCTAAATGAGAGAAATCTAACCGTGCATAACGAGCTTTAGTGACTAAACCTATTTAAAAAATTTTAAGGGTAGACTTTTGAAATTATTATTTATTGGTAAAATCTGCCATTTTTTTCACCAGCTTCGGGTGCATATTTAATCATTTGTATCCACACCCAGACAATCTTGTACAATGTGAATGTTATATGATTAAATATACACCGTTGGGTTTATCTTGTTACAATTAACCGGAAGCCTTTACAATGCCTTGAGTGAGATTTTTAGGCTCACAAATTTAAGGAAATCTGTGCTTTGCTTATGTAGAAGAAAACGAAAGTTTGCTTTAATGCCCTCCTACCCGGGGGCGTCACCTATCACGTTTTCTTTGCTTTGTTCAGCGATAGAAGTGAGGAAATGTAGCCCCGTGTAAACGTGGAGTTGCTTTAGTCAGTGTGACGGACCACGGTACTCAGGATGAGTATGTCCGCCGCTGTATTCTTCCTTGCTGAGGAGATATTGCAACCCGCTGATAGGTCCCAGTTTCCCCAGTCACTAGTCGAGACTCAAGTGTAGGGTGAAACAAACTCTGATTTATTGAGAAACTGCAACCTTTTATACAGAAAGTGATCAGATCAGAATATAATCCCATCACATCCACCCTGCCCTCCCCAGACATTTGGTCTGCACAACCCCACAGGGGTCCACCTGCTAAAGAGCTCCAGGCAGCCATAGCAGGAGCATGGCCAGAATATCATTGTCCTGAGCTCCTTCAGAGTACAAAGGGAGATAACGAGGGGGGCTGCTTGACAGTCTATTCATAAACAGGTTAAACAGTATAACACACATAAACATAACCCAACACCAATACACATTTAACCCATAAACTGATGACCATGTCATCACAGTCAGAACATACACAGAGCTGGGAGGACTGTCTCCCCGCTCCCAGTAATTGAGTGCCAGTGCTGTGATATGAATGGAAATGAGTTGCATGCTCTGGGGGCATTAACGTATAACCTGTTGGGCAAAGTATAGCTTTGGTTTAAAGAGACACTGTTTTCCTATTTAGGGCTAGGTAACAGTGCATGTGTAAAGCCCACCTCCAACCAATTTTTTTTACTCTCCACTTTTGTGCTTGTCCGCTACTTCTTGTTCTGTGGCTGGCACTGGAACTTCCAAGTATGGATGAGCACCTCTTTCCATTATGCAGTGCTTGGGCCCAGTAGCCCGAGCACAGTCACATGATGTCACTGCCGCCAAAATACCCGGTGTCTGAGCAGTGGCAGGCAGAAGAGGTTAGAGTTTTGAAGGGACAAATATAAATTGGTGGGTGGTAGGCTTTATATAGATCCAGCCACTTTGCCCTAAATGGTAAGGGTGACAGTGTCTTTTTAACCACTTGCTGTCTGGAGCAATTTCTTAATATTTGCACACACAAGATAAAATCAGAGTTTTGGGGTAGAAAACAACTTCAGACCCCCAAACAATTCTATATTTTATGAAAGCAAAGGCCCTGTAGAATAAAAAAAAATGCTAGTTGCAATTTTTTTATGTTGCACGGTATTTGGGCAAATCGAACCAGTATTTTCAGGATAAAATACACTAAAATGAAAGTGTACAGAAACAAGCCCCCATTGTAATAGCAAATATGAGGTGACAGGTGCTCTTTATGGAGGCATCAGAGGTGTTTCAGACCCCTAATGTCACCTAGGGACTCCAAAGAAGCTGAAGCAGCAATCTGCTTCCCCAGCTTCGTCTCCCGGCTCTAAGAGCCGGAGAATGTGCACAGTGACACCGGAAGTTGTGTAATACATATCACTTCCAGGTGTAGTGATCGGAGGAAAGATCAGCGGCTAGAAGCTTGCTCATCGCCTTCCGATCGGTGAGGGGAGTCCTGCTGTGCCCATCCCAGGCCTGCGGAGGGCGCACACATTTGGTCGCACCGTACAAGCGATCGCCTGCTGTTTTAAATAATACCAAGAACATGGCAGGTGCATCAGCAGTCATGTTCATGGTATAACGGCTTAAGGACCAGGACGTATTTTGACGGTGGGCGGTCCTGAAGTGAGTTTTCTCATTCAGCTGGTTGTTTACTGCTTAGATGCATCTAATAAGCAGGGACATTACTTTTCTTTTCAGAGTAATTAGTTTCCTGGAATAAGAGTAACCTCTGGCAATACTTGTGTTTTCATAACATTGCACATCTTTACCAGTCCAAACAAAGCATAATTAGTATCAAGTATATGAGAAGCTCCAAGCTCCTGAATTCGTACAATTAATTTAGCTAGCTCTTTATTTTCAGAGTAGCCTTGTGTTATAAGACTGCATATTGGGAAGTAATAATGGGCAATATCTCTCAATTTCTAGGTCATGTTTATGAGCCATTGTGGGACTGGCAAACTCATTGTGCATTATATTTTCTTTTTTGTCTCCACAAACAACATTCATACTAACAAATTATTCAGAGTAGACATATGTTGGTAAACACAATATAGTTTCTTTGTTGCTAACATTCCGATTAAGAGATGAATTCATGGGCTCTACTAAAATGTATGTTTCCTGTTGAACTTTTTGCATTTGTTTATTTTGTAAATACAGTATTTATATTTTCTATGATACTGATGTCCTTCTTTTCTTTTTGCAGTTGGCTGCAATAAAACTTGGCCGATATGGAGAAGATCTTCTTTTCTATCTTTATTACATGAATGGAGGGGATGTTTTACAGCTTTTAGCCGCAGTCGAGCTGTATGTATAAGTATTAAGTAGTATTTCCTGTATGTTTTGTATAGACAGCCAGTAGGGAGTTTGTAAAAGAAATGTGTAATGGTTCAGTACTGGTGATCTGTGTGTTGCACAACATCATTCTCTGCCACTGTATGGACATGCACCTCTACACCCTCAACCATTGCGACAGCGCACTGAACACCATTATATGCTACTACACCAAAGCACACAACCTCGCTCTCCAAGATTGGGCAGGGTCTCGTAAATGTGCAATTATTACATATTAAATTATAACAAATTGGGCCTCAAAGCAAAGCAGCTCCACTTTGCTGACTCCTAAGTAGGGCTGCAGCTAACGATTATTTTCATAATCTATTAGTTAGCCGATTATTAAGTTCGATTAATCGGATAAAAAAAAAAAAAAAGGCTCCAGTGATGGACTACTAGTTTCTATTGAGATTGTAGTCCATCACAGGAGCAAGCTTGGCGCGGCGGAAGTAAAAAAAGTTGAAAACGTTGACAACGTTTTCAATCGTCGATTTTAATCGACTTAATCGAATAACTGTTGCAGCTCTACTCCTAAGCTAACCTATAGTGTTCTTTGTCAAAGATTGTGTATGCAGTATCAGAAAACATTTAAAAATGTATACAAAAATTTACCCCAAACCATTATAATTTCCATTTGAAACCACTACAATCCTTTGGTTTCTGTTGCTGTGTCACCAGTAGACATCTGTGAGAAATGTATAGCTTCCATTTGGAGGAAGCTGGGGGAGGGTCGGGTCTGGAAGCATTAGTTTGAAGGATTTTCGATCAAGTCAATGAAGCCATGGATATTGATGATAATGCCACAACAGCCTGCCTTCTCTGCTGTACTCAAAAATCATAGGTTTTATTTAATTTACGGTACTCTTTACTTCGACAAACTGATATTTACCTGTCCTTGGCAGAAGGAACAAACCACAGTACCTTGCAGTGAGCATGCTAAGATTAGAAAGTTGTTCTAGAGTCCTTTGTCCCCATGGGTATGCAGTGACATGCATATAGAATGTAATGTATGTACTGCATGTGTTTTGTGTTTGCTTATGCCCATTAGTGTACATTTTTAACGTGCATTGAACCTTATTTTATGCATTTTCACCAGAATGTTCTATACCATCTGAGAGAGGAAATTTTAAGAATGAACATTTTCTTTGGTGTGGAATTGCTAAAAGCCCAATAAAGGACAATGCTTGTGTGTTTGTGCACTCGCCAATAACTTGTAGTGTGCCTGAAAGTGCAGGTTACTGCAGCAATGTAACATCTAGATTTTTTTTTTCTTTTTTTTTTTTTTTTTAAAGGAGGAAAAATGAAAAGAGCTGCATGTCAGATCAGTTTCCGTATGTATGAATTTAACCACCGCATTTTTTACACACCTTAAAATCAGAATTTAAAATAAACTCCCAAACAATTATATTTATTTTTTGAAAGCAGAGGCCCTGTAGAGTAACAAAATAGTAGTTGCATTTTTATGTCGCACAATGTTTGCGCAAATGTTTTTATCAAGTCAATTGCATTTTAGTGCACATAAACACAATATAATACCCAGTTTTTTGGGAAATAAAAGATATGGGGTCACGTTGAGTAAATAGATACCAAACAAGCCTTCAAATTGCGCATGCCCGTGCAATGGTGATTAACTCTAGTACTCAAAATTGTCTTTCAGCAATGCTTTAAAACCCTTTAGTTTAGAGTTAACGGTGAATGATTGCTCGAATCATTGCTCTCACTCCGGTGCACCTTTCCTAATTGGAGGAAAAGGGATTTAACCACAAGGGTTAAAAAAAATTTGGAACTCTCTTCCACAAGCAGCGGTATCGGCAGAGAGTATTGAATCAAAAATCATTTAGATACCTTCCTCAGAGACCACAACATTCAGGGGTACAGATACTCTTACTGACTAGAACACGCACACACTCGTATACACACACACACGCATGCACACACTCATGCTCATAAAGGTTGAACTCGATGGACCTGTGTCTTTATTCAACCTCAAATACTATGTAACTTGTGTGGCACAATCACTGTATACACATACATGTGCATGCCTTACACACGCATTTGGATTTACAAATGTTTCAGTTTTTGAAACTTTTTTTTCATTTTTATTTTCATGTTCTTTGCGTTTTAACACCTTTTTTTTTTTCCATTTCCACTTAACGTTATTGCTGGCACAAGAGGGCTAACATGCTATATTCAGAGGCTGTTGATGGACGGTGGTCCTGATGTTAATCAAATTACCCGGTACCAGACAATCCACCTGAGCAACTCCCCTGACGCATACTTATCTAGTGATCACTTATCTTCCTGTTAGCCATCCCTCTATGAATTAGCTGTTATTGAACAAAACACATCAGTGTAATAGATCAGGCTGATTGTCTATGTACCGGGGAATTGATTCAAATCTTAGATAAGGTAACAGATCCAGTATGCGGCTCTTTTTCTTTATCCAGTACATCACAGGCATGTTAACGCGTGTTGTCTGAACAAGCCCGTGGATGGCACAGGTTTTGTATTTTGCAAGTGCAAATTATTCAGACACCTGTCAGCTTTTCTATAAATCCATGATTTGCTTTGTTTGTTAAAATTGTGTATATATCGATTACAACTTTGCATAGTAGGACACTTTTGTAATTGGACTGCCCCTACTGAATTTACTTTCAGACCTTCCTATAATAATGAAGTCTTTGTAACTGCTGAATTGGAACACGTTTATACACTTGGCGACATTGAAACAAAGTGAGATGCAAAACATAACATTGAAAATGTTACTGTTTTTAGTTTCAACAGAGACTGGAGATACCACAAAGAAGAACGGGTATGGATAACCAGGGCACCTGGAATGGAACCAACAATGAAAACAAACACCTACGAGAGGGGAACATATTACTTCTTTGACTGTCTTAACTGGAGGAAAGTTGCAAAGGTACAGTATATTTTATCTGGTTCTTATGTGTGCTGTCGGTATATTTTTAAAAGCACACATACTTTGACGCATTTCTTACGTTTAGTGCTTACTCATATGGATCTTATGAGTAAGTACTAAAGGTAAGAAACATGTCAAGGGGTTCGATGCCCACTAATGTTGCAGATGCTCGTTGTAATGGGATCAAGCGAGGTTCGTGTCAGTGCTATCCGCGACATATATTATGACTTATGAGCAGCTCTCTTGCTGCAGCGGAGTATAATTGTATGTATTGTGAAGTTTACCCAATTTTTCTATGATGAGCGTGACTCATAGACCTCACAAGACCATATTCAATTGCGTTGCTTTAAATGCACTAATTAACAATAACTGCTCTGCTTATCAGAAAGTTCTATGTATAGTATATGGAAACATATACTATACATAGAAATATATATTTCCATATATTCCATATAGTATACACACATATATACTATATGGAATATGGAAACATAGGGGAAATTAGAGAGGCAGATAAAGGGCCTTCTTTTCTTTTTTGAGCCAATGATTCAATTCATTTTGAGTCAGTGACCTTTGTACAAGCATGTAGCATGTGAAGTCTGAACTCCCAAATCTATATGGTTCAGGGTCAGTGACTTTTAAAATATTAATCCATGTGAGCTGCATGATAACTTTACAGCAAACATTTTAAAAAGGTTAAAAAATGGCAGCCTCTGTATCTGTATATTTTTGTCAGCCCAGACTTTCTTAAAAACAACAAAAGAAAATATATTAAATGGATGTGTTTTTCCTATACTAATATTACAGGATGACTAAATATGCTACTGCGTTTATAATGTATTATATAGAATCTATAAAAAAAAAAAAATGTTAAATTGACCTTTACATAATTTCATTATGTGCACAGCCATGGATTTTAATTTTCTTCTTTGTGCATTGAAATAGTGAAACTGGTCTTGGTTTAGTCCACTAATGCAGGTGGGGGTCCCAAGGTTGTTTTGTTTTTTATAAGCACAGAATTCTGTGTATCAAGAATTCCACTGCACGATAAAGGGAAATTACATATTTCCTACTACTTTTAATAGCATACTTAAAGGGCCTGTAGAAGTACAACAAGACACAAAAGGTACTAAACAAATACTGTGTGTAAAACAGCTCATTTACATTAGACTTGGTCAGTAGTGCAGGTATATATATCATGGCTCTTTTCATGTGTGTTTTTGTGTGCTTACACATAATTCTTGCATTTAATGTTTGGTAATATATTTTCTTATGCTTGTGCTTTTGAGAAAGGTTGCATTACCAATAACAGGAATATGCCATGCAGTAAAAGCATACGATAATGCAAGGCAAATGTGTGTGTATCCGCTCCCAATGCTCTCTTTAATGAGTGCTAATGCATATGGCACAGGAATGTAGTTGTTTTTCCTCACTGTACTGCATTGTAGTGCACTGAACAGCCTACACAGACATCAGTTCTGCCCCTGTGTATTTCTGTGATTAAAAACCTGTGTTTATACTGCAAGCAAATGCACAGATGAGAACTGGTTCTTACAGCCATGGATATAATATTTAATGTGTATTTTGAAAAACCAAGGGAGCTCATTTATATAAAAAAAAGATAGACCAAAGGATAATATTGGCATTGTTCATAGAAATCAGCCATAGTATGGATATAATGTTTGAGTGTAGGCGAGAATATGAACCTGAATGAACCACACTTCCACTTTCTTGTCCTTCTGTGAAGTTAAATGGTTATACAACATAACCTTTCTCTTCCTAACTGCAACACAATCCATGCAGCAAGTATGGTGTCCTTTTTCTTATGTAAAAGACCTACATGAAATCACTTAAAGATGAACTTTAGAGGCATAACCGTAGGTTTTCATCATCCGGTACATTTCTCTTCTGTCTCACGGACCGGACGGTGAGTAAAAATTTAAAAGCGAGTGGAAATCTTACATTTCACAGTTGTCAGTGTAATAACTATTACCATAGGAGACTTACCCTTCACTCTCTACCATCGTAATAGAGGTCATCTGGATAATAATGAGGGTTACTCTAAAAACATGACCATTTGGGGTGTGTGGCTAGCATATGATCCTGCGCCCACACACTATACAAGAGCTCTGGTGCTCCTATCATAAAGAATTCAAATCCACCTGAACTCATGCACTCTACCTAAATAAATAAATATATATATTGGAGGTGCACCGAAATGGAAATTTTAAAACCGAAGCGAAACCGAAATAAAAAAAATTGTCAGGCCGAAACCGATACCAAAAATGTTTTTTTATTTTAACTTTTTAACTTTTTTTTTATAAACTTTTTAATTTTTTTAATTTTTTTATACTTATTTTTATTCATGATTGAGAACACAAAGTCCTCAATCTCTTTTTCTGTATCCCCTGTTATTAATGAACAGGAATCCTCTAATGAGTGTTCCTGGTCATTGATAATATAAGGACATGGTATGTTTACCATAACCACAATTATGAATGAACAGGAGGTGATGTAGATCACTCCCATTCATTCATAATTGAAGATATAGTAACCATACCATGTCCTCAATTATCTACAAACACTACAGTATTTGTACCTTCTCTCCTCTCTGACACGCTGTCACAGGAGGCTGAACGAGCAGTGTAGGGAGGAGAGCTCGGCCTCCTGTGACAGCGCGGCCTGTCTCCGCCCACACACCGCTGTGATAGGAGGCTGAGCGGTGTGGTAGGAGACGCCGGCCGCTCGCAGCGCTCAGCCTGCTATCACAGTTTCTCTCCTCCTCGCTGGGACACAGAGCAGCGGCCAGCGGGGTGGAAAGAAATCATTATGCCAAAAGTGCCATTTTCGGCCAATATGTTTTGGCGACTGATATATCGGT